TCCTTACAAATAAAGAATGTTTACTTTGATGTATATACTTGTTTGGACCCTTAATTAATTACCCTACCATACTACTAACCAAATATGTATTCTAATCTTAAGACTAAAAAAAAGTCTTAAGCCTAAGCCTTTTAAAAAGATGGGAACCAAAAGGGGCTTCATATTATTCGCTTTTAATTACAGATGGAAATGTGCTTTTAATATTAAAAGTTGAGCATTGAATCGCAACGAATGCTTGATCTCCTTAAAGTCCATTTCTACCATACAACACACGCATACCACCTTCATCCCACTCAAGACACACACAACGACCCCAACCACCTTCCCCGCAGGGTCTCTGAAAGTGTGTGTGTGAGAGTGAATTTGTGTGTGTGTGTGTGTGTGTGTGTGTGTGTGAGTGCAGATTGATAAAAGGGTCCAGGTCCAGTGAAGGGCTCCATTGTTGGCAGCAGCTCAGCTCCACACACACTCTGATTGATGCCAGCTGAGAGAACACAAAGACACATTTAGCCTGGACACACACACACACACACACACACACACACACACACACACACACACACACACACACACACACACACACACACACACACACACACACACACACACACACACACACACACACACACACACACACACACACACACACACACACACACACACACACCACACACAGCCAGCGGTGTAAGAACATGTGCATAAGCGAACTCAAGCTTGCAGATGGGTTGCTAACCTGTGTACAAACTGAACTACTGATGACCTTAAACAACCTGCAGGAGAAGCTGCTGGAGCTGCGACCTCCTGAAGAGTCTGCAAATGTAAAATGTAAAAGTAGAGTGGAGCAGTGATGACATATTTTTCTAGGCAGACCCTGAAGTTATCATTGCAAGGGCTCACTCTACAAACAGACAATAGGATTTGACCTTGGATTGAGGATTATTGTAGAAAATAATCTCATTTGAACCTTTCTGATGCTTACACATTTTGTTCAGCAGGTTAATATTAACACCACTTTATGAGTTTTCAAGTAAAAAGCTAATGTTGGGCTATAACTACAGCACGGTCACATGACTTCACGTCACCACCGTTAAGCTAAAGGCGGCTAATGTTGGGCTATAAAGGAACTACAGCACGGTCACATGACTTCACGTCACCACCGTTAAGCTAAAGGCGGCTAATGTTGGGCTATAAAGGAACTACAGCACGGTCACATGACTTCACGTCACCACCGCTAAGCTAAAGGTGGCTAATGTTGGGCTATAAAGGAACTACAGCACGGTCACATGACTTCACGTCACCACCGCTAAGCTAAAGGCGGCTAATGTTGGACTATAAAGGAACTACAGCACGGTCACATGACTTCATGTCACCACCGCTAAGCTAAAGGCGGCTAATGTTGGACTACAAAGGAACTACAGCACGGTCACTTGACTTCATGTCACCACCGCTAAGCTAAAGGTGGCTAATGTTGGGGTATAAAGGAACTACAGCACGGTCACATGACTTCACGTCACCACCGCTAAGCTAAAGGCGGCTAATGTTGGACTATAAAGGAACTACAGCACGGTCACATGACTTCATGTCACCACCGCTAAGCTAAAGGTGGCTAATGTTGGGGTATAAAGGAACTACAGCACGGTCACATGACTTCACGTCACCACCGCTAAGCTAAAGGCGGCTAATGTTGGGCTATAAAGGAACTACAGCACGGTCACATGACTTCACGTCACCACCGCTAAGCTAAAGGCGGCTAATGTTGGGCTATAAAGGAACTACAGAACGGTCAAATTACTTCACGTCACCACCGCTAAGCTAAAGGTGGCTAATGTTGGGCTATAAAGGAACTACAGCACGGTCACATGACTTCACGTCACCACCGCTAAGCTAAAGGTGGCTAATTTTGGGGTATACAGGAACTACAGCACGGTCACATGACTTCACGTCACCACCGCTAAGCTAAAGGCGGCTAATGTTGGGCTATAAAGGAACTACAGCACGGTCACATGACTTCACGTCACCACCGCTAAGCTAAAGGTGGCTAATGTTGGGCTTTAAAGGAACTACAGAACGGTCAAATTACTTCACGTCACCACCGCTAAGCTAAAGGCTAATGTTGGGCTATAAAGGAACTACAGCACGGTCACATGACTTCACGTCACCACCGCTAAGCTAAAGGTGGCTAATTTTGGGGTATACAGGAACTACAGCACGGTCACATGACTTCACATCTCCACCGCTAAGCTAAAGGTGGCTAATGTTGGGTTATAAAGGAACTACAGCACGGTCACATGACTTCACGTCACCACCGCTAAGCTAAAGGTGGCTAATGTTGGGCTATAAAGGAACTACAGCACGGTCACATGACTTCACATCTCCACCGCTAAGCTAAAGGTGGCTAATGTTGGGTTATAAAGGAACTACAGCACGGTCACATGACTTCACGTCACCACCGCTAAGCTAAAGGTGGCTAATGTTGGGCGTGATGAAGTCTCATTTAGAC